CCAGTTGCGTAAACTCAGTCTGGTCGCTGCTGACAAGGGGAAAACTACAAGAATCCCAAACCCAAGAACCCAGAACCATGTCCTGGTTTTCTTCACCGGTAGAAGCTTGCCGCATCTGCCCCACCACCACCGGCACCGACGCTGCCCTGCTGTATAAAACTCTGTGGTCTCTGCGGTTGCTGCTGTGGTGGATATCCATAGCCTCCGCCCAGCATCCCGGGCGCTGGCGGCATACCTTGCGGTATCGGTGGTGGCTGATGGGTTGGTGGCGCATACGACAGATTCTCTGGCTGTTGGTGCTGTTGTTGTCTCTGCTGTGAAGGTAGCGGTGCGTATCCCTGCTGCTGCTGTTGTGACTGTTGTTGTTGCGGCTGCTGCTGGCCATCTTCAGGTGAGTAGATGGACGGTGAGTAATCCGATGATGGGTCTTGTGCGTGTTGTTGATGCAGGTTCTGGATGCCGCCGGCTGCGGGGTAGGATTGGCGATTTGGGCCTGTGGGACTATCGTAGGCGCTTGAGCCGAGTTCTTGTGGTGAGTACGGATGGGAGGTTTGAGGGGGTGCGGGTTGTTGGTCGTATGGGGTTGGTGTTTGGTGAGGAGGTCGGGGACCAGATTGAAGGGATTGTGGATACATTGATGAGGTGGGGGGCTGTGGATATTGGTCGGATGGCGGCACGGACGTTGATTGGGGCGGCCTTGGTCCGGATGGTGCATGGTTTTGGGGTGGAGGAGAGGCTATGGGATAGGGAGGATGAGACTGCTGAGACTGTTGAGGTGGGTATTGGAACGGCGTTGGGGCGTTGGGTGGTTGTGAATCTAGAGTATTGGTTAGCAGTGGTAGGCTCCATAGACGTGGAGAGAGTAATCTTGGACCTGGTTGCGGGCTATAGAATCGTTGTGGAGCAAATCCCTGAGGTGGCCCTCCTCCATAGCCATATGGTTGTTGAACTGGCCGTCCATAGGGGACCTGCTGAGGCTGAGCCATGGACTGTTCCAAAAGTGCCTCGTAGTCCCTGCGTGCTTTTATAAACTTCTCGTTCAGTTGCTGGAAATCGTCTGCACTGGATCAGCCACCTGCCTCGAACAAGAGAGGATGCCAACCTCACCCTTCTTTTGTGTATACTTCCCAATGAGTTCAATAAGCTTAGGTCGGATTGCAAGAGTCTGATGATACAGTCCAGTAATCTCCTCATTGTCACGGACATTGATTTCGCCGCTGCTGGTACTGAGCAGCGCCAGCAGCTTTTCCACATTCTTGATCTCGCCAAACACTTCGGCCTCCATCTGCGCCTCCTTCTGAAGCTCTTGTTGTGTCGGGTCGGCAAGCTTCTCGACATAGTTCAGAGGAAAGATTCCAGTTTGTCCTCGCAACGATCCCTTCCACCAATCCTTGTATACTGATTCCAGCACTGCTATTACATCTCCTTTCCGAAATTGTAATTCTCCTGGCTCTGATGGTTGGAAGTCAAATAAAGCGCGCACACGGGATACTGTGGCTGCTGTAGAACCAGATGGAACGGGCTGGGAGGGCGCTTCCTGCTGCGGCGTTATGCCCGATTGCCCCGAGAGCTCGACAGCGCCTGATTTCCTGGCTGCTGGTCCTGCTGGTTCAGGTTTATCTTGTATTGATAGCTTTAGCGCCATCTGGAGCTCTTCTTCTTCCTTCTGTCGATCAAGGTCTGTGATCTGTCTTTTGGTAGGTGCCTGAGGGGGCTGTAGATTTGGATCTGGTACTCTTTAGTCATCCGCTTCAGCTGCAAGCAGGCCAATTATAGACGAACTCTGTGACTTGAGCTTCACATATGCTTGCTCCATGATCCCCAGCTCGGTGTTATTCGAGAACATTTTAGCCCATTCTGCTATTCGTTCTGCAATCTTTGACTTGACTTGTTGGTGTGTAGTCTACCACTTCTGATCAGTAAAAGCAGGCTTCAATACAGTTTCCAGAAGACCCTCTAACCCGATCACCTGCCAACCTTATCAGGGCATCTGTGAAACTTCTCGAAGCAAGCTCTCTGTGCATCTTCGCTCCGCAATTCTGCGACAAGGCATTGGCCAGCTGACGAGGACCTGGGTCAGTTGGAATCTTCATGGAGAAATAAGGCGATTGTGAACCTCGAGGGTGTAGAGCTGCACATTCGCATTGCGATGCGCGAGCCGCTTGATCATGGCAGCAACAACATCTTTCGGTCTGCAAATATGAGTAACCATCAGCTACTGTCCAGCCATTTATCTCAAAGCAGTATCGTAATCGTACCCTGAATCGCTGCCTTGCACCTTGTCGCAGACATCCTAAAGCCCCTGTAAGCTCTTGAAAGTTCAGGCATCTCCTCAGCTCTACGTACAAGTATGTATTCCCAGTTTTCCGACGTGAGATTCTCGTCAGTCGCCTTGGCTGTACACAATAGTCAGTGGCATAGCTCTGGGGTTGCATTCGTAGGATAGAGGCATCTACCGACGACCTCGTCGAAAGCGTTCTGCTGAGCTCGGAACATAACTGGGGAAAGCTAGGATGTTCCTCTTTGAAGGCCACCGGTGGAGAGGGAGAAACTGTTCAGTGCGAACTCGAGGCAGGTGTGAAAGTCCACGCAATGACGCCTGACGCCGCTGCGGAAAGCTTCCTGCATAAGATGCCTGACCACACGTTATAAATGGCACTGTAACTTACTAGTAATTTACTGTGCTTGGGTCTAGGCTGTGCAAGCTGTAGCTTCGACTGCGTAATTGGTTATATAAACCAACACTTCGAACCAAATCTCTTTCACCTAACTAGTTAATTATATTGCATGCGAGGCATTCGGATCCCACAAGTCACCTCGTTATCTCACCAGAGACTACGTATGTAAAACATTCCGTATTGATCAATATCATTGTGATTTGTTTCTGTCTGATAGTCTACTGATTAGACCAGTTTGGTAACCATGCTCGCTGATTTTCAACCAGTTCCACCTGCTGTTCCTAAACAAAGATGCATGTGTGTGAGGGTCCGGAGGTCCGGTCTGAGAGCGGCTGTTAGACGATCTCTGTGGGAGACTGCTCATAAAGCAAACTGTACATATCGCTCAGCATACCATCCCCATCTCATCCCCATCTCATTCTTTCCTGCCAACGCCTGGCTTTGTGCAAACTGCTTGTAAAATTTGAATTCGGCTGTTTTCTTGATGAAACATGCAACGGTACTCCAGTTGAGGCATTTGGGCTTTTTGACTTGACGTCGTTCTGCAATACGCCGGTGCGCCAGTGGCATTGAAGTTGAACGATGAATGCCTTATTGTGTTCTGCAGAATGACCATGTGATGGTACAGCGTTCTGAGTCGAAAAGACATAAAAAGGTTATAACAGCATATCTCTCTTCGAGAATAGCAGTAGTCCTCAGAAACCAAGGAGGATTGTTTCCAGTTGTATTTCAAAGTCGTCCCATATAAGACAACCATGGTTTCTCAGTCACACTCAGTTACCCTTCTGGGAACGCTCTTGAGCTCGGCTCAAACGAGCAGACTTGACAAGAGGTGCTAAACTGGACAGCGGCTCACAACACTGCATAAAGGGATGCTATCACACCAGTCAGTACAGCAACTCGACAATGATCGTGATTGTCGAGGCTTACCGTGAGGAGATCATGGGCACTTGCTCTCTTTTCCGGTTCCACTTTCAAAGCAAAATGCAAGAAGTCCTTGAACAGATGTGACAGCTTGTGCTCTTCCTTGATTTGCGGCGTGCCGTACTTCGCAATCAGATACAGAGCCCGAAGAGGTGATTCAGTCAAATAAGGTGGTTCTCCTTCAATCATCTCAATGGCCATGATGCCTAGACTCCAGATGTCGACTTTCCGTCCATACTCCTTACGTGTCACAACCTCAGGTGCCATCCAGTACGGTGTTCCAACCATGGTCGTACGTTTTTTGTCGGACTCGTTAATTTGAGCACAAAAGCCGAAATCTGTCAGTTTGATGTTGCCTTCTAGCGAGAGTAGGATGTTGTCTGATTTGATATCACGATGGATCACACCTTTGGAGTGAAGATGCTGCAAGCCATTCAACGTCTAACCCAAGTCAGCAACTACTTCTCATCACAAAGCGGACCTCTCACCTCTCTGCACACTGCAGCAATCTGGCCTTCGCTCATGATGTTGAACGTGACGACATCAGTCAAGCTGCCACCCTCCATATACTCCATGACAACCCAGAGGTCACCCTGATGCAGGAAACTGTCCATGAAATTGACAATGTTCTTGTGCTTACTGTCTTTCATCACCAAAATTTCGTTGATGATAAGGTCCTTTTTTGGCTGTTGCTCAAGATTCATCTGTTTGATAGCAACGCACTTGTCACTGCCAACTTCGTACGCCGAATAGACACCTCCCGAAGCTCCCTGACCGATCTTGCTCAAGTCTTTGTACTTCGTGGTGGGGTCTCCCATGGTACATATGGCTTTCAATCGCTGAGTTATCTCAGCGCCATTACTCTGCCTGGTTCGATTCCTGGGTCGAGCGCCAGGAACTGGCCCAACTTGTGGCTGAGGTTGTCGAGCGGTAGTTGTGGGACTTGGCACATTCGCAAACTGCTGCTGAGGGGTGATGGGAGTTAACTGCTGGGATTCTGGCTGAGTCTCCGGTATCTCTTGGGTCAGCTTTTGGCTTCGACTGCGATCGAGCTGCTTGCTTGCGATGGCTTGTTGTGCTACGATCATTGCTTGCTCCTGTTGTTGCTGATATTGGACAGGGTTGTTGACTGTGCCAGGAGAAGCTCTCGGAGGAGAACCATCTGGACTAGAGACAGGGTGACTGTATTGCAACTCTGGAGGAGCTGGAACAGTCTCAGGAATTGAGGGTGGGGCGAATGGTTGTTTCGTAGTATTCTGGCTTGGTCGAATTACCATTTCCTTCACAATTGGTGGCTGCGGAGCGGCTCGAGGTTTCGGTGGAGCTCGATTAGGGACCAGACTTGACCTTGAACTCTGAGGATTTGGAGAGAGGGTCCCGGAAGCGCGTGACCGAGGGATAGGAGGAGGAGCTCTAGGGTTTTCGAAGCTCGTCTCATGATTCTGAGGAAATCTGGGACTGGCTGGAGGGGAGATCATGCCGCCACCCATCGAGCTGTACCCGCCTGGGCTCATAGGACCACTAAACAAGGGAGTACTGATTGGACCTGAGATCGTTGCGCTTAACGGACCGCTAACAATGGGCGACTCAGATGGCTTTGCGTGGCCGAACTTGTCCCAAACACCTTGATCCTCCATTACCCCGACGTTTTTCTGATACGTGTCCATGATGTCGCGCATCAACTGGGGGTTCTCTTCCTGCTCAGTTTTGGAAACGCCAGAGTCCTCAAGCATTCGTTGCCATTCCTTCGGAAGGCCCTGCATGTGAAATGTCAGAGGATTTTCCAAAAATCACGAGTGCGGTCGATCTGAGGAGGGAGTGCGAAGGAAGTGAGACTTTCTTGCAAGACCAAGCACGATCAGATCGGCACGACTTTACCACTTACAGTAAATTGACCAGTGACGTTATCATAGCCGACGTGAATCATATGGATTGGATTCTCTGGGGACGAGATCTTGATGTTTCGTGGACTACCGAGCATGCTATTCACGAAGCTTGAGAAGCCACTCTTCTTCCTACCGGAGATTGACGGTTTGCTGCTGTTGCTATCATCGGAGTACCTCTTTGGACTCATTGTGCCATTGTCAGAGCGCGGCGGAGTGACCTCCATGATGTTATCGTTGGTGGTTGACGAGCGCAAAAGGTGCAGACCTCTGGCCTCTGGGTTGGTGTGGGTATGGTGAAGTGGTGGGGGCGCGGGGCGCTTTACTGTGGACAAGTTTTTGGAATCAAAAGTAAATGACTTTGAGATGCCGAACTTTTCAAGTGGCGCACCAATCAAGTCATCCTTTGAGCTCTGCGATGAAGCGGAAGGATGCGACTGTTGGGAATCTGCAAAGGGTGGAGAGGTAGGCAGGCTGGATTCTGAACCGGGCAGGATAGGCGAAGGACCGGCACTAGCCTGGTCAATGGAAGAATTCGACGATCCGTAAGCGTTGGATTTCGTGCGGAAATGTGAAGGAGACTCGCGATTTGAGAGTGGGGTGTGAATTCGTGGGTAGACAGGCGCAGAGGGATGGCGCTGGAGCGATGCAGTAGATTGTGGTTTGCGAAGTGATGGACGGTAAGCGGAAAGTGGTGAACCGATCTCTCGATTCTGGGTCTGGGTCTGGTTCTGAGTCTGGTTTGTCGTCTTGGAGGATCCGAGAAATCTGAATCGTAACCGTGTGGAAGATTGCTGCTCATTCATGGTGTTGATTGAAGTCTGTGGGTGGGATGGGGGCAGGTGCAGGATGGAGTAGTCCTTGTGGGTGGCTTCCCTTTTGCGGTGTTCAGGCTTCGTTCCTTCCTTCCGCGCTAACCAGCTAGCACCCACTGGGCATTATTTGCTGTAAATTTGAACGAACGGGAAGGTGCAGCAGAAAAGGGAACCAGTTAACTGCAATAATTTACCACGTAAGAGGTGATTGATCCGATCAGCTGTACTGGTACCAGGTTTTCCTTGTCCAGCACTGGATATGCCTACTTGTTGCAATCCAGTCCTTATGCCGATGAGGAACACTGCTAGAGTAACCGGATCATGCTTCTGCTGTTAAGCATCTAGAATCCGGCACTCCAGTACTAGATCCTCAAGTCCCAGCGTCATCCGATCAAAGTACTTCTACCTTAGAAAAGAGCAGTAACAATACTCTGTATGCACCTGGTAATCAGTAGTAGTACATCTAGCTATTGAGTCTCCACGATCAGGTCGACTGTGGACGCCCCCTCCCTCCGCATCGAGGTCGCCGTTTCCCTCCAAACTGCCATGCGATTGTTTCCCTCCCACGTTTCGTCTACTGCATCTCTAATGCCCTTTAGGGCATTGATAGGCCATCCGGCCCCTGTCAACTGAGCTCAATCCCGCGCCTAATCTCACAAAATGGTCCGTCCCTCCCCACACCCCGAGGGTGTCAGCGTTAAAGTCCCAATCTTGTTTTTTGTATGCTGGGTTACGAGTAGCATGCGCTGTCATCAGCCACCTCGGCTACACACAACTTACCACTTACTAACTACTAGTAGTCAAGCAGAGCATTCGGAGCTACGTCTGCATTAAATCGGCCCCTCAGGTTGATCTGTGTTGGATGGGCATAGTGGATGTTCTGGTGCTGGTTCTCTTCCCAGAGCGAAATTGGCCCCCCATCTGATCTGCTTCTAGCAAGGCTGAGTAGAATTGCGCATCCTTCCTACGGTACGACCCATTAGGCATGAACGCTGCCTTCTAGAATCCTTCTTCAGGTGTTCGTTCCTGCTAGCTACCCGTCGGCCCATGAAATTCCGAAGAGCAGACATTTCTTGGCATTTACATGGCTTATCGAGTCTCCGATAATCTCCTGAGATTTCATGCCCACAGATGAGTTGGACAAGCTCAATGCATAGCATAGCCGCTACTGTTGAGTGTTCATAAGACGGGATCGTCCAATAGGCGCGATCAACGTGAGGATTCTCAACTCTGACTGAATCTAAGGGGTCTGGTAACACAACATCACACCATAACCTCTTCCCCACACGGCCGGAAGACGAAAGGTGTGGGGACGGATGTTTAATCTAATGATGTGTCCACACGTTCTAGCAAGGCGAACGCACCCACAAATTGAAGTCCTGCGAACTCCATGATGAATTTTTCTATTGCCTAACCAATGACCAGGAGATCTAAGCCGCTCCGAAGGTTTTCTACATCTATGTCACACGACAGTCCGGGCCAGATCCACTATGCTAGAAGCGCAACTACTCCCTAGCGTACGAGCAATGCAAAAGCTCGCCTTATGTGTATTCACGAGTGCGCCAGTTGCCCTGCACTTGATATCTATTTCCCCTCCCCAAACTCCTGGACATGCACGTCTTTCCGCCTGATTTCCATCTCCCTCAACATTACCAAATCCTTTTAGCAACCATCTCATACCTTTTAACCCTATCGAAAGCCCCCTCTCCACTTCCCCTTGCCCTTCTAATCTTCTCCCGCTCTTCTCTTTCTTTCAGCTGCCTCGCTCCTTCGGCATCATCCTCATAAATCCACCTCCTCTTGTCATCATCGACCTCTACGACTCCCCACCCTCCAACCCTCCTGCCGCCCTCGACATGATGGATTGGATTCTTCTCTCGCGTTTTCATTGACCGGTATCGCGAGCGGGCGAAGGCAAGAAGAAGCATGCCAAGAACGAGCTTGACGGTGAGGAGGACGAGGAAGACAAGGACAGAAATAAGGATGGTACTGAAGTTTGAGAAGGCTCTTGACGAGGAAATGGAAGCTGGGATCAGCCGTAGTAAATCATCGAACTTCTGGGATAATGCCGCCGCTGTGGAAGTCGGCATCGAAGTGGGAGAATTGGTGTAGTGGTTGTGGACGCTGGTCAGACCAGTGACTGAGCTGGGTAAAGTTGGAGGCGTCCAAGCTGCTAGGAACATGTGGTATGTCTGTACACTAGCTCGGATGAAGAGACAGCTGAGCGGGATCACTGGGAGACCCAGCCGCTTTGTCAGATTCTGCTCTGCGAATGCGTTTGAGTAGTAATCCTTAGCTAGCACGTCTAGAAAGCGTCCGTAGATGGCAGGACGTGTGTTGTTGAATTTGTTGATGTAGGAGTGCTTGAGCCAATCAACCAACATTTCAGATCCGAGGACGACAAGGAAGGGCCCAAGCACGTGTCCTATTCCAGGAGCGTATGCGGTAAGAGAGGATAGCATATTGGGCAAAAGTGTGAATGATCTGGGCAGGATGGATGCCGCGGACAATGGAGGTGTATTCATAGGATTGCTCGAGTTCGTCGTAGTTGGCAAGAAGAGCGATGAGGATGAGCCGAAAGCACCCAGGCCAGCACTCAGACCGCCCGTCTCAACAATATTGCGGGACGCTATGATTAGTAGCATCAGCCAGAGTTGAAAGCGCTCTACAACGTCGGCGCAGGTCAACTGAAATAGGTTCTCCTTTTCAAACTTCTTGAACACGGTCGACTTGATCTCCACGAATTGGTTTGACATGAGTAGCGTAATCAGCGCGTTGGAATAGGAATTGACCGCCACGTTTAAGGTAATGACTTGATAGAACAAGGCCGTGCTGTGAGACACGGTATATGCTAAGGCCATAAGAAAGAGCCAGAATGGACGAAGCACTTTGCTATGCCCGTCTGGTGCTCGTTCAAGTGCCTCCCGAGAAAAGAGACATTCGAGCACATCCTGCCCAAGCGCAGAGAGCAATCGATCTCCAACCTCCAGCACATTGTAGATCACGTACAGCTTGATTGCTGCCTGGCCTCTGATCCAATGGTACATTCGGCTTGCATCAAGACGCATCAATATAAGGCAGGTTGTAATGATGAGTAGGCCTTTTAGAATATCGGCTTTGTCAACAGGCAGTAGGGCTGATGGCACTGACTTGTTCCGCCGGTGACGCCGCCCGTTTTCACCGCTTTCGTGAGTAGGATTCCTTTTACTAAGACTTGGGCGGCGTTTTTCATTGATACCACGAACTGAGCCGTTCAAATGTGCTGAATCCTGCTTCTCGTGCTGCTCAGGCATCGCTGAGCCCTGCACACCCAGTTTGACCTTTGGTGCAGAATTACCTCTCGTCCTTCGCCTCTTCCACATCCTCCCCGCACCAGCATAGATGAAGCTTGACACAAATTTGATCTCGGCGCCAAGGTTCGTGGCCCAAGATTGTCCTAGAATATAGAAAGATTTTAAGAGTCGAAGTGGAAGAATTGTGAAAGTGTACAGCCAGGCGTCCAGACAGGCCACCGTGCCAAACCATAGGACCTGTTCTAATTGCGGAGGCAGGAGGAGAAAATTCAACAGACGCTCGATTTTGACACGAGACGATTCATAAGGAAAGTCGCTGGTCACAGACCTATGAATGTACAGAGGAGACGGACGGTGGGATGAAAGCTCTAATTGTAAATAGGTTGGCAGAGACATTGGGGGCAGTGGAATGGTTTTGGGCATAGGCGACGGTATCACATCCTCCATCTTTGTCGGCACAAGACCAGCAGGTTTTCCGCCGTCAAATCTGAGAGGAGTAGGGGTGTGTTTAGAGTCCCTCCTGTCCGCCGTTCCTGGCCGAAAATGGGGGGATCGCTTCCCCTTGATTGACGAACTGTTAGAGGATGCCCGCGCAAAGTGAGCAGCTCTTGGAACCGGGAGCAGAGCATCTGGAGTAGGTGCAAAGTTATCAGACACATTCGACGCAGATGTTTCTGTGACGGCATGGGTGGTATTGGGGGTACCTGCCACATCACAGTCATTGCCGTTTGCAGTAGCACCACTTTCCGGCTGTGAATCAGCTGGTAGATCGAAAGATGGAGGTGGCAAAGTTGATACCCCTAACTGGGAAACACTTGAACTAAGAGCGCGGAGAGGCAATGACTTGGGCGAGGATGTGAGTTCATGTATCCTCTCCGGTGTTAGCTTGAGAACTTTCTCTTTCTGTGAGGCCTGCAAGATCGAGTCGACTTGACTACAACGACGCTTGAGTTTCTCCAGCGGCTTTCCATAATCCGTATCCGCGGTCGGGCTAGGTCCAATGCCTTCTCGGAGTGCACTTGGAGGCGACACGGGCAGCATTTCCACGAGGATGGTGTCTCCGTGATGTACAACGCTGCTCCTGCCGTGCTCAAGTTGGTCATGACCCTTTGCTACCGCCAGTCTATGGCTATTTTGCAGTGTTCGTGTCTGCGAAGAATCTTCCAACGCCTCAGTCGTTTTCCGAATGCCCAAGAAGCCTTCATTGTCATCTCCGTTGGTCGCACCCTTAGTCAACTCTGGCTCGACAATCGAGTCTTCCGTCGATCTTTCACCGGGTTTGACTTGAAAGACATCATCGCGATCACTTGTGCGCACTGTGACAAGTGCAGATCGATGATTGCAAGCTGGGTGTTCTCTTCCTACGGGTTCATGGCTTGGATCGGGTCGCAGAAAGGGTGTCTCGATCATATCGAAAGATGAAACGTAGAATGCACAGTGCCATACCAGCCAATCGACGCTACATCAGACGGCACGGAAGCAGTGAATGAAAGCCCACGTTCATATCTTAAATCAAAAGACTAGGTTGAATCTCCTTCATCGGGATTGGCAATGCGTCAAGATCAGCTCCGATCCAGTTGCAACCAATTCAAACATGCCAAGCTTCAACCACAGCTCATCTCAGCCGCAGTCTTCACTTTACATCTGAGGGCAGGGGGTCTCATGCAGGATGAAGGTCAGGGAATTTTGGTTTTTGTAGGAAGATGAGCTTGATTTGCTCTTATGATATTCTCAAACATGACTTCGGAGTGCCTGCTTGTTCTAAATTGGACGCAACACCTTTTCGGCATATTTGAGGTCAGATGAAGACACTTCCTTCTGGCCATGGAACCATTGTCCGCCATAGGGCTGGCTGCCAATGTGACCGGTCTCATCAGTCTGGCAATACAAGTCTCTCGCCTGTTAGCAGACTATTCTGTCAGCATCAAGAACATGTCAAGTGGCATGAGAATGCTGAACGAAGAATTGACCTCTTTACAGCACGTTTTAAAGGAGCTCTCGGCTTTCTTGCACAGCGTTGATGGAGCTGGCAAATCTTTCCAGAAGTCCTCGGTCCTATATCTAGCAATAGCTTCCTGCACAGGAGATGTCCAAGAATGGCTGTGAGGTTGAAATCCTCAAAGAACATTGTAGCACGAACTATGGAGAAGCTGCATTGGCCATTCGAGGAGAAGGAAGTGATTAAGTTTAACGATCGACTGCGAAAGCACATTTGCAACTGCCAATTCTCATTGACCATGGAAAATTGGTATCTCTCACTATCAAGCTGAATTTGAACTACTGACGAATATAACCTAGCATGCTATTGTCCGAAACCTCAGACAAAGTCGCTACAGTCCTCAAGGTGCAGAAAGAGCATTCATTCCAGCTGAGCGAGATTTTCAAGGGCACTTCTGCAATGGCTACAGTCGCGAACCAATACTCGCAGACAGTGGACCAAATAACGCTGATACTACAAATGCTCTCGTACCTACCAAATACCTTTGCCGAGATTGAGAACATCTCACTCTGCATGGACGACTTGCAGATCAGCGCAAGAAGTATGCTTTAGAAATTCTCTTGCATAGATGACTTCCCAGAAGCACTGAAACATCACAGACGAAAAGGAAGCTCGCATTTTGGACTGGATTCCAGCAGGGGCTCCTCACAAACACGATGAAATAAGTGCACGCCGCGTTGCGGGTACTGGCAAGTGGTTGATCTGTCATGAAACGTACAGACAATGGCAAAACGACGCTTCTTCCAATAACCAACTGTGGTGCTTTGGAGGCCCTGGAACTGGTAAGACCTTTTTAGCGTGAGCTGTAGCATTACACCGTGGCTAGCTGGTGCCTGCTAACATGAACAGGTCTTTGGTAGTCGACAATCTGAAGAAGCAATCCAAAATCAGGAACATTGGTGTGGCATACTTTTACTGTGATTACGCGGTTGATTCAGCACAAGACTTTGCAGCAACTATCCTTAAGCAAGTACTCATGCAAGTTGGCTCACTACCTCCAGCCATGCTTGAATTCTATGAACTGCACAGGAGGGCAGGATTTCCACGAGCCCAAGTAGAGGTAATACAGCTAGCCGGAAAGCTGTCTTTACATTTCGATGCTTTCTTCATCGTTATTGATGCACTGGACGAGAGTGATTCGCAAAAACAGCGACAAGAGATTTTAAAAGTCCTTGCAAGCCTTAAAATGTCCAGAATCAGGGTCTTTGTCACCAGTAGACCACATGACACAGACATCCAAACCGCCTTGCAACACGCATTAAAGATCGAAGCTATGGCAGAAGAGCAAGACATCAGGTCATATCTCCATGAGAAGCTTGATTGTGCTCCACGTTTGTCGACATTGATTAATGAGCATTTGAGAAAGCAGATCATTGCACACATTTCGGAGCGAGCACAAGGCATGTAGGTGAAGCAGACTTCTTGATTTAGCAACCAGCTAAGGACCAAAGGTTTTTGCTCGCTGTGCTTCAGGTGCAGTTGATTCTCAATCAAGTAACCAGACCGGCGTCAGAAGGGCGCTCCAGCATATACCGACCGAGCTGGATCAGCTCTTTGGGGACACGCTGTATAGGATGCGCCAGCAACCTCCAGAAATACAGGAAATCGGTCTATACACCCTGATGTGGCTTTCATGTGCTCGGCGACCCCTTTTGATATCTGAGCTGCAACACGCTGTTGCTACTCGGTTCAACGAGCCTCAAATTGATCCTGACGAAGATTGTCCGCCATCTGAAATTATTGTGGAGAGTTGTTTAGGTCTGGTGACAATCGAGCATGATGAATCCACAATTCGTCTTTGCCATTTCTCTTTGCAGGAATATCTGGACAGCCAACGAGAGAATTTGTTCCCACAAGCACAGACCACGATTGCAAGGGTTTGTCTGACGTACTTATCATACGAGCTTCCTGAGCAAGCTCTGATAGGGAATCATGTCGAACTGTCGAACGTTTCAGTCGAAGTGATATTAGATTACCTACCATTCCTCCAGTATGCGGCTGAACATTGGGGCTTTCATGCCAAAGCAGCAGCGTTTAATGCAATTGAAGGTGTTGCTTTGACCTTTGCCAAAGACGTCCTCAAAACCGTACGTGCGGCCAGAATACTTGCCAATTACACTCCCTACTCAAGGCGCAACCACGAATCTGCATTGACTCGTTATAGACGTGCCGACAGGCGCCCAAAAGAGATTGAGGAGAACCCCAAGCTATTCCACTGTGGGCTACATTTGGCTGCAAGATCCGATCTACCAGAGCTAATAGAATGTCTACTCGAACACGGCCTGAACGTCAATAGTGTCGACCTTTTCGACAATTGCAATACGGCACTTCACGCCGCAGCATCTCGAGGCCACTTGCTATCTGTCAACGCTCTTTTGAATCACCATGCCAGCTTATATCAGCTCAATTCGGCCTTCGACACTCCATTATTCTTGGCAGTCGTTAGTGCGCAGCTTGAAGTTGCGAAAGTATTAGTCCAGCACAAGGCATTGGTAAATATACAATGCTTAGATGACTGGACAGCATTACACAGGGCTGTGGACTCTGGCCAGCTAGAAATGGTCCGGTTCCTCGTTTTGCATGGAGCATCATTAACAGCGAGAACAGCAAGAGGATTATACCCGCTTCATCGCGCCAGTGGAAGAGGTCATTGCGAGACCATTGAGTTTTTACTACGTCAAGGTGCGTTCGTTGATGCAAGGACCGAGGGCGGTTGGACTGCCTTACATGATGCTGCAAGAAGCGGCCAGCTGGAAGTTGTCAAAATCCTTCTTGAACATAATTCACATTCAAATTGCCCGACCAACGAATACAGAACTCCGCTGCACCATGCGTGTCGTGGTTGCAAGCTCGAAATAGTCAAACTCCTCCTGAACTGTGGTGCCAATCACCTGGGAAGAGACGCCCATGCACAATTACCAGAACATCGAGCTGCCAAGGATGACCATCCTCTTATCTTGCAATTGTTACTGAGCTTAGACCTCACTCAGCTCTCAAAAGTGGATCGTTATAATGCATCACCACTAGATGTGGCAGAATCAGCGGGGTCGTTCCGAGCTGGACAATTCCTCAAAGGTATCATGCGACCAAGATTCGACCTTCTGGGGGACACCAGGACCGGTCTCGAAATTGCAATAGAAACGAGCGACGTTGAGCTTGTCAGGGCGCTGATCAGGCAGGGAGCCGATGTCAACACCAAGGAACATTGGGGCTGGACAGCTCTGCAGCAGGCCCTCCAAGCCGACCAGGAGGATATCGGTTTGATCCTCCTTCAGGCTGGAGCAGATGTCGAAGCCACGGGAGCACAGAAATGGAGGGCAATCCACGTTGCGGCTCGAAGAGGCAAATCGGATGCTGTCAGATTATGTCTCGAATACCATGCTGATATCAACGCTGTCACCGCCCAACAACAAACGGCACTTCACCTAGCCTGTCGTAGTGGAGATGAGGAGACCATCAGACTCCTGATCGAGAGTGGCTGTGACATTGAAGCTGCTGACAATCGGAACGCACGACCAGCTCACGTCGCTGCATCACACGGCCACGAGGGCGCTCTGAGAATCCTACTGGAAAACGGTGCCGATCTCAAGGCCAGGACTGCAGCCTCCCGCACCATACATGCCTGCGCTGCTCGCGGATGTCACTATGCTCTCGTCGAGTTTCTGCGGGAAAGGCGTTTTGCGCTGGAAGATGGCATGGATACACTCACCTAGTAGGTTCATGTATCACTCCCGGTACAGTAGGGCGCCAGGTATTAATGAAGGTTTCTCGACCAGGTTCCGCTTTCCTTCCGCCGTTTCCTGGTGTGGTTGATATTATTGAATAGTCGCGCACCTGTTGCTTAAGGATTTGAAATTTCTGGTCCACTGGAGTTACAACCATTTTTAACACTCAGAATCTATGCTATACAAATACTGCGCTTCCCAGCCTCCCTCTCCCCCTTGCAGCCTTCCAAATGTCTCCGGGCTGTTTAATGCCCCTTATCTGCATACTAGTCACAGCAAAACCTCTACTCTAGAAAGGCGAGACTTCCCGCGTGATATGTAGGTACTCCTTGCGCCCCCTTAAGAATCAACAAATTTCTCGTCTAAACGATCTGCCAGAACAGGTATCACAGATAATGAAGAACGGTCATGGTCCACGGACACCATCACTCCCTCACCTCAGGGCTAAAACGAAGAGTGCTGCACCGGCCGGCCCGAAGGCCCGAAGCTTGGCGCCAAAATTTACGGGAGTTCTCAGATTCCTGCTATGCTACACACCCCTTTAATAGGGGATAGGACGCCCATTTCGCTCATTTAGGGCAGCTACTCTATCTGGCATTGTTGAGATAGCCCTATTAATCTCATCCAGAGTTATTTTATCCCACTCCTCCTGGATAGCCCTGCGCAGAACAGCTTCTTCGAAGATGACCCCCCTGGACTTCAAGCGCTGCTTTATTATTCTCCAGATTGTCTCAATAGGGTTGAGATCAGGCGAATTAGCAGGGTTCATCTCCTATTTGATCCCTAGAAGGTCCTTGAGTGCTTTAACCTTGTTAGGACCCTTGCCCTTGGTATCATGAGGCCCGTCATTATCTTCAATTAATACGTAATCTTTATCCTAATCAGGAGCAACGATTTCTTTCAAAATAGTCATATAATCGCTCTGAATAAGACGTCCTCCTACTCCGGAGCCGGTGTAGAAGTGGAGCTGACCCTTGAAATTCCATCCAATAATTGCGTATACATGGACTGACTGATTTTGACGCTTGAGCTTGAATTGGGTCTTTGATAGAGCATTTCGTGCTTCAAGCCCTGGTCGA